GTTTGGATCTGGTCCCAGCTTCAGGGACAGATTGGACTTTAGTATACGAGGAGTTCACTCAGACCATCGGCTGACAGCTCGTCTCAGGTGTTTGGTTTGGGCTTCATGGGCGTGGCTGTAGCTCAGGTGGTAGAGCGTGTCAGCTGGTACTCAGGAGGTTGGTGGTTTGATCCCAGTCTGCATGCTGGCAACATGCTAACCCCGAGCTGCTCCACGTGCATCCATGTGATAGACGGAGCTCACATAGAAAAATAAAGGTGTGTTCAGAGGAGAAACGTGCTACATATGAACAAACATCTCCACCTCGCTCTCATCTGTTGTAGAAGAAACAGACCCAGTCTGTGCTGGGGTTTTGTTGGCCTGAACTTTGACCTTTAACCTGCTTACTGAGGCCTGTAGAAGCTGCGATGAAGAGTCTCTGGTGTGAGAGGTTTTCACCTTTTTGTCAGTAAAACTCACACGAAGACGATGGAGGGAGATTTATGTTACAGCACAAATGAAAGCACGATGACGACGCTGCAGCGTCTGTGGGCAAACCTGAGACTATTATCAGGACTGAAGGATCAAAAGCTGAAAGTCGGACGAGCTGCGACTGTGATGGACGGACGAGCAAGTTTAGTTTCTGACTGTAAAAGTTTGAACAAATCAAAGAAACGTCTCAGTTTTAACTTCCTGTTGTTTGGAAACGAGTTGAGTCACTTTAAAGGAAACACCAGCGAGACAGCCTCTTCATCCTCTGAGCGAACGAGCTGACACGCCTCCATCCTAACATGGTTACGCTGCCACACGGACTCCCACAGATCATGTTTGCACTACCTCACCTATGCCTCTTTGGGGGCGGGGTCTAAAGCCGACTCCAGTTCCTCACTTTTTATTCTCAGGAATAAATGAACCAAAATGATCAGGATACCAAGTTACACCTGCCTCAGCTTACAGACTCGTGATTGGACGGCTCATCAACGAACAGTGACGCGTTGACTTTACCTCGACACCTGTCAGGTAGGACAGATGTTACCGCCCGTCCTGCTGCAGCGCGCAGAGGAAAGATCTGGGCGCGATGACCTCAGAGTGGACGAAGCGTCGCACAGAGACAAACTCAATCCTAAAAATCTTTAACACGATGAAATCTGCTGCAGACGCATCGCTCGTGTCTATCGTTACTGACATCACCGCCTTCAACTGCTCGCTCACCTGGTCTCTCCTCTCCGTCCTCAGGAACAGGCTACGTCGCAGCGCTCCGTGGCTGAACTCGCCAGGAGGTTCAAAGGTGCGGCTCCGCCACAAAACCCCGCCGGGAATGAACAGGTGAGTGTGACGACAGCCGGCACACACCAGGACGTAGACACGTCCAGTGCAGACCTGCTATCATCTGCTAGAAACAGTCAGATTTATGGACTCGGGAAGAATCAGTAACTTATCAGACTCATACATGGTGACAGGATCTGACTGACTCAGGCAACCTTTTAGGACAGGTGTCCATACTGGGAGTAATGGTCTTTTTTTAACTGCTGTTTTTGTTGTTTACCAGGAGAAGCCGGTCAGACGGCGACCGCCCCGCACTCTACAGCTGCCCAAAACCCAGGGAGGCGAGCAGGTGAGACAGATGAGATTAGGGAACATGACAAAACGATGAAGACGCCTGAAACATGTTCAAAGCCAGCCGATGGTCTGGTGGGGCACTGATGTGTGACGGTTCAGTTAAAACAAAAACTACACAAACACAAAAACAACACAAATGGCAGGAAATAGTTAAAAATGATGAAATTACTGATTTATGAAAAAATGACAAAACTATTTAGTTCAATACATCAGATTTTTTTGTTTAGTCTTAAATCACAATAAAACAGAGAAACTCCACCAATCAGGCCTCAGAGCAGCACACGGCGACAGTGAGAAGGAAAAACTGTCCTGTAACAGGAAGAAGCCTCCGGCAGAACCAGGCTCAGGAAGTGTGAAGTGTGAAGCGCTTCTGCAAAGGAAGCAGAAGAAGACAAAAAACACCGTCGATGGCGACTTTCGTGCCGTGCTCCGTCCTCTCCGTGGTTTGGTCGTCATAGACCTGAATCAGAGCCGATCTGGTCTTTAAGTCTGACGTCACCAGCCGTGTCTGGGCCTAAACTCCGCTGCAGGTCCATAAATCAAACAACACTGCAGCGTCACTGAGAGTTAAAAACTGTCTAAAGTCTTTCATCTTTAATAAAATGATCAGCGTTCTGCTCTACCAGGTGTAACAATTGAGTTTAACATCCAGGCATCCATGAAAA